TCCATACCATCATTATCATGAAAATTGTCTGGACGAATATTGTGAAAATAATTGTATAAAGTTCGAGATTGCATGTAAGTTACGTAAGCGCGTCACTGTTTTTGATATCCTGTGTTTTTTTTCTTTAATGGAATATGTTCGTTGTTGTTCTGGTTTGCATGTTGTGTCGACTATTATATTATTTGTTTGTGCGTTTCTCTGTTATGAATGTTCTTGCGTGTGTTTGTGCTGTATTTCTGTCACGTAGTGTTTTAGCAATATTTTTTAACATTGTCATAATGCGGGAGGTTTGGCATGCCATGAAACCAGGTTCAACCCACCATTTTATCTTAAAATGTCCTGTACCAAGTCAGGAATATGGAAGTTGTTATCAAATAGTTCGTTTCTATGTGTGTTGGTGTTTGTTTTTGTTGCACTTCGGTGTTCCTATTGTTCCTTTGTTTTCCTCTTATAGTTGATGTGTTTCCCTCGGTTTTGGTTTGTAACCCGGATTTGTTTTCTCTCAATCGATGTATGACTTATGAACACCGGTATACTACTGTTGTCTTTATTTACAACATATGAATGCATCAAATAATAATCTTTCTTTCAAATCTTCCAGTCTATGACAATATTTTAACATTGATAAAATTATAGTAAAATAAATAGGAAATCTTCCAAGCTCTGACATCACAGCTATGTTACTGGACTTTCTGTTTACACCAAGAATATATTTCGTAAATTTATTTTGAGCTTTTTCAGAAGAATCCTGACCAAAAACTTTTTCTAATATATAATCATTGGTTTTTTTACATGCAGCTGGATTCAGTACGAAACGTTCCCCATATTTCACTGCCATATAATAATATGGGTTTAATTGTATGATCGTAAAGATGTAAAAATGTGGCAATACTAGGGTTAGATGATGACAAGCAACTCTGTAGCTTAAAACATGCTTTTAAAGATTTGTTGTATAATTCATCTTTACACTGCTTGAATATACCACTAGACATGCTAGATGTAAATGTGATTCCAAGATATCTTTTTAATTTTGCACATCCAATCTCTTTACCTCCAAAATATAAACAACATTTTAAAAACTTTCCTGGTTTGTTAAAAATTATACTTTTTGTCTTTTTTAGATTAACATCAAAACACTAGTCTAAACAATATGCATGTAACATATTAATTCTCTTTTGCAAGCCTTAATTCCTGTGTTTCTGAAAATATCACTACATCATCAGCATACCTTCATGAATCACTTTATCAAAAGCCTGTTTAAAATCTACAAAACAGGCAAATAGTTTACCCCCCTTTTACTAATATATTAATCAATAATGGTTTTTAAAACAAAAACATGATCAGATGGTCTACATTTTTTTGAAAATCCAATTTGACATGGATTAGTCAATGATTCTTTTATCAAAAAATGATCAAGTCTGTTATTCAAAACGGAGTTAAATAATTTACCAACACAAGAATTAATGGCAATGCCACAATAATTATCTGTTTTACTTGGATCACCAGACTTAAAAACAGCAGATAAATAAACTGATGACCACTGCATCGGATATATGCCAGATGAAAATACATGGTTTAAAAGTTTCTGAATTAAGGGATTTAGAACTAAACTTCCCGCCTTTAGCATCTCATTAGGTATACCATCCAGACCTGAGGCTTTTCCACATTTGAGTTTAGATATTGGTTCAAATATTTCTTTAGCAGAGAATCTATAATCTAATTCACAGAAGGTTTTATTTTTTTCCATATGTTCTTTTTAGATTTAATTTCTTTAATTCTTGTCTCACTCATTGAAGGAGATTTATTCAAAACTGAAAATGATTAAACCAGGTTTCTGGTTCTACTGATTTTTCTTTACTATCTGTAGACTCCTTCAAAGAATTAATAAGTTTCCAGTATTGTTTTGGATCAGAATCTCTTAAATTATCAAAACTTTAATTTACCAACACAAGAATTAATGGCAATGCCACGATAACTATCTGTTTTACTTGGATTTATTCAAAACTGAAAATGATTAAACCAGGTTTCTGGTTCTACTGATTTTTCTTTACTATCATCTGTAGACTCCTTCAAAGAATTAATAAGTTTCCAGTATTGTTTTGGATCAGAATCTCTTAAATTATCAAAACTATTTAGGATAGACTGTTTAAATGTGCGCATTTTATATTTACGCAATTTATTATATTCTCTGAAGCATTTATAGTATGAACCTCTGATGATAGGATCAAACGGAAATTTTGACAATAATTCACCTTTTGATACTAGAGTTTTCCTCTTTACACCTAAATCAGAATCAAACCATTTACAATTAGGTCTTCTTTTTTTAGATGATTTATTGTGAAAAATATTTGCCTTTGAAGCAGCAACATTTATAATATTCAAAAAATCAGAAACTGCTCTCTCCGAATCTTCATTATTATAATCATGATTCATAAAATTACTTAAAAGAGTTTTGCAAACAGGGTGGCAAAGTGCATCTTGAAATTTACTGGTTGATGATTTTGTCCACTTATAACCACCTGGAAATGCATGCATTTTAAATTTATTAACAGATAAATAAAGGCAACAGTAGTATACCGGTGTCCAAAGTCATAAATCGATTGAGAGAAAACAAATCCGGGTTACAAACTAAAACCGAGGGAAACACATCAACTATAAGAGGAAAACAAAGAAACAATAGGAACACTGAAGTGCAACAAAAACAAACGCCAACATACATAGAAACGAACTATTTGATAACAGCTGCCATATTCCTGACTTGGTACAGGACATTTAAAGAAAATTGGTGGGTTGAACCTGGTTTTATGGCTAGCCAAACCTCCCGCTTTTATGACAATGTTAAAAAATATCGCTAAAATGACAACACTACGTGACAGAAATACAGCGTAAACACACGCAAGAACACTCATCACAGAGAAACGCACAAACAAATAATATAATAATCGACACAACACTGATGCAAACCGCAGAAAAACAAGGAACATCTTCCATCAACGACAGACACCACAGGACATCGAAAACAGTGACGCACTTACGTAACGAACATGCAATCTCGAACTGTAAACAATTACATATTTTTAATGTTAATACATGGTACTCTAGTATAGATTATATTCAGAAATAGATTAAATTACCAAATTTTGACCGATCAATTGGTACTTTATGTAAGTATGTTAAAAATAAACTATGTGAAAGTTACTTAACATTTTGGAATAGACTGAAGTATCAAACAATTAACTCAGAAAAAGGGAAGCTTGGTACTTATTTTTCTATAAAAGATTGTTTTTAAAAAAGAAAAATATTTAGAACTACAGAATTTTAAAAAAAGACAATCAATTTGTAAATTAAGAATAGGCTCTCACTCTTTCAAAATTGAGTCAGACAGATATTCAAAAAAACATAAAGATAGATCTGAGCGTCTTTGTTTAAATTGCTCACTTGGTAAAGTTGAGGATGAGCTTCATTTTTTATTAGAATGCCCACTTTATGATATCAAAAGAGAAGATTTTTTTAAATACATTTCTAACTTTTGTTATAATTATAAAAACTTAAATAAATCTTCCAAATTTTTATGACTCTTGACACAAGAAAATGTATCTCTTATGGAAAAAATGGGCTGTTATATTGGAGAGTGTTTTGAATTAAGATCAGGTATGAATATTGATACTAATGCTAGTAAATAATTTGAGAATGAATGCATATAATGTAATTTTATTATTTTATTGTGCATTCACATATTGTTGTTGGCTCTGATTCTGACCAATGCTAATATTATTAATACTAAATATACATTTACATGTACACTGTGATGTTTATTGTTGTAATTGTCAATTATGTCAATCAATTGTAACTGATTTTATGCCCTATAATGGACCTGTAATTTGGGAAATAAAAATATTCTATATTCTATTCTATTCTATTCTATTCCAAGTTAAAAATAAAATAAGTGTTGTCTTTTTAATATACTACATATTCTATTCCAATGGTTAGAACTGCAATCCCGTGCTCTTTCCCCCGAATGCGACCTACCTAATTAGACTTATCACCGGTTTTGTACTAACATGAGCAACACAACGGGTGTCACATTGGGAGCAGGATCTGCTCACCCTGAGATCACCACCAGTTTTTGGTTTGGTTCGTGTTGCTCAGTCTTTAGTTTTCTATATTGTGTTTTGTGTACTGTTGTTTGTCTGCTTGTCTGTTTCTTTTTTAGCCATGGCGTTGTCCGTTGACTTATGAGTTTGAATGTTCCTTTGATATCTTTCGCCTCTCTTTTAGTATAATAAGTCCCAGATTGATCCAAGTTTGTGACGAAGAAATCGAATGCTTGAAATTAAAAGTTATTAAGCAAATCCGTTGTTTAATGTTCATCAAAAAGAATTGAAAAATATGACCGTGTTTACACCACAAAACTCTCTGAGTACAGACAAACATGTGCACCTGGAAAAGTGTTAAGCCATGGCAGGAACTAGGTAAATAAAATTTGAATGCATTTTATGTTTCAGAAAATTAAACACTTACCTGGAATTTGAGATTTATTTTTTTTAGCCTGCAGAAGGTTCACCACTCATTGACATAGTTTAAACAGTCTAGATCACCTATGTCAATGTGCAGATATCTACCTATTATCCAGTTAATCAATACAATTCGCTATAATTATTTACATAGGGGAACATCTCAAACAACTTTCCAAACTTAGATTATTTTGCCACCTTATGTAGGAAAGAAAAAAAGGAATCTCAAAATCCAGAAAAGTTTAATTTCTGAAACATAAATTAAATTTTAATTATCTAGTTCCTGCCATGCCTTGTATGAAGATCCTGCCTTTTAAAGGCGCACAAAACTTTTCCAGGCGCACAGGTTTGTCTGTACTCGGAGTAAAACTTGTGGTGTAAATACGGTCATACAGCCAAAAGATAAACTCAATTATGAGTTCCGAATATTATTCAATTGATACCCGGACTTGACTCAATATTTTATAAAATAAAACATAAGGGAAGTAACTCTTTACAACTTTGACAAAATGATTTCGTAACGTTCAAAACTGGATGAAACTGGCGTTGTTTAGAGGTAGACCTCCACAGATTCTGCTAGCTAAGTTTACAAATCAACTGATTTATTTTTCTCGCACAATGGCAGAGGTTGGTGATGTCTCAAACATGCGAGCTCCATATCGAAGTCATGGGGATGCTTTTGATGTTGACGATCTTGTTTCCAGAGAACCATTTCTACAATTCAAGAATTGGTTTGAAGAGGCCAAATTAGAACCAAATATCGAGGAAGCTAATGCAATGGCTCTGGCAACAGCAACAAAGTAAACAATGATTTTGTTTTAATTATATACTTATCATAAGTTCCGTTGACCTTTTGACCCGATTGGATTTGCAAAATTAACTGGTCAAGGACCAGTTACTGCCAGGAACGGCTGGGTAAAAACAACAGACGGTTGATATCTGTTGACTCATATCACTCACTTGTAACTATGTAAAATCATGGAACACATTATAGCCAGTAGTATGATGGACCACATAGAAAATAACAAAATTTTGTACGACCTTTAACCTGTTAACATGGATTCCGAGCATCAAGATCATCGTCTTCTTCTTCTTTGGGTCAACAAGGCTTCAATACTGAAGAGTACATGTTGTTGCGCATGCGTGATTGACGAAAATTTATACAAATTCATATAATTATTGAGATCATGTGAAATCCAACTGGTATCATTCATCCAAGAACTAGCAAAAAATAACAACAATAACATCCAAACTGACATAATTGTGATGGACTTTGCCAAAGCATTTGAAAAAGTACCTCACAAAAGACTCCTCTTCAAACTAAAATATGGCATTGAATACAACACCTTAAAATGGATAGAAGATTTCCTCACATCCCACACACAAACGTTACCTTACCTCTGTATCTTTACCCCCTTCAAAGGAGAACCACACAAGTTCTGTGTGTTGAACAGGTGCTTTGGGTGGCGGTGCTCATTATTTACAATGGTGCTGTGACTGTGGATCCCATCACCACAATTTATCCACGAATTTTGGATCATCCTTCCACCATTATGTACATTATTTACATATATGAATATCGTTAAAGATAGTATTTGCAATCCGCAACGACACCTCCCGACATTTTAAAAGTTATATATGTTATAATTAAAAGTTCATGGCGATTTTTATCCTAGTTGAAACAAGTCTTTCCACACAGGATTTTGCGTTAATACATGTATATAAAAGTGACGCCTTATTAATCGTTTAAAATCTAAAATGCCCTCACTATCACATACGGAATATATATAGAGCGGCTTTGCCTTGTTAAAACGTATTTAAAGTTCAATGTTCTAAAAAATATTTGCTCTTTAAAATCTAGAAGTTCAGTGTTCACACAGGCTTACTATATCGTGATAAAAGTATATGTACGGTAAAGTCTAAAAGTATGTTCACTAGGAATCTGTAGGCAAGCTGGTGCTTTATGACCCAGAGTCATTATTGATGGTGTTCAATCAGAAAAAATTAACATAACATCTGGTGTTCCCCAAGGAACAGTTTTCTTCTTCTTCTTCCAATAATTTGCATACCACTTCTAGTGTATTATCGCAAATGAAATGTTTTGGGCCCTATCCTGTTCCTTGTGTACATAAACGACTTTAATGAATTCATCAAACACAGCACCCTAAGATTATTTGCAGATGACAGCATAATTGACAAAACAGTATGGAATAAAGAAGACACACAAAAACTGCAAGAAGACCTTACACAAGCAGCAAAATGGGAGAACGACTGGCTCATGTCATTCCATCCAGACAAGTGCTCAGTCCTTGAGTCTGAGATAACAACCTAGAAAAACCCATTAAAATTTGACTATACTCTTCAACATGTACTACAAAAAAAAAACAATACAAGCTGACCTAAAATGGAACAAACCTGTAAATAACATCACAGAAATTTAAAGGTAAATTCAAAATCAGTAAAAGAAAAAGCATATATAGCACTTGTAAGACCAAAGCTAGAATACAGCAGCTGTGTCTGGGACACACATACCAAATCACAAATACACCAACTTGAGATGATCCAGTGCAGAGCAGCTAGGTACACATGCAACAGATACCACCACAACAGCTCAGTCACTGAAATGCTGCAAACACTAAATTGGACAACTCTTGAGAAAAGGCGAATAAGAACATGCATCATCATCTTCTACAAAATAATACACCATCTTGTAGCCATATACCCGACAGATCTACTTGCGCAATCTGACACATGAACAAGGCAACATTCACACATTTATTCTTTCAGACCTATACAGACCACTATTTAAAAGATTCATACAAATATTCATTTTACCCAAGAACAACATTACAATGGAACCTTCTACCTTTAGCTGCAGTACAATGTACTGCTCTTGACTGTTTCCGAGAACAGATTCCAATATCTGTTCTCATCAAACATCTAAACATCTAAATAAAAATCTACCGGTACACTGTATATAGTTTTAACCTAAATGTATAGTACAAAAACAGAAGAAAAAGGAATTACGTTGGAATTTTTTATTTTATTTTGTATAATATTTAACTGTAAATAGAAATTAGATCCCACGCAAGCATGGCATAGTAAATTCAGAATCCGGCACGTTATCATCAGTATGATGATGGAGTGCTGAATTATAAAGAAGAAAAAGAAGATATCTCCAGACAAATATTTTTAGTTTATTTGTAAAAACTCTGTTTTGTTTGATCCGATAAGAAAGGGAAATGCTGATTTTTAAATTAACTAAACACATCATGGGAAGGTACACGAGTGTGGACATGACATCATCGCTTTATGACATCCTTAATTTTGGAAAACTTATCGTTTTAAGACAAAGCACTTTCTAACCTTGCTTTAGAATAAACAATTTCTTTCAAAATAATTCAAAAAGATTGATTTGACATTTTCAAAATTAAAAGTCAATATATCGCTTCAACGTTGTGTTAGTAGTTGATTTTAAGTGACATAAAGTTCACATTTAGAGCAGGAAGGAGATATTATGAATTAATGGTCAAAATAGCAATGTGTTTAGTTCAATTTGCATACCTTCATCTCTTCTTGCTACATACAGATTATATATGCAAAAGCAAAATGTAACATTAATGTCCTGACTCAATGTAAATTCTATCATTTAATGACAAGATTCATAACTCTTACCTTTAAATGGTAGAATGTACATTGAGTGGGGACATTAATCTTATTAAGTGATAGTAACAGGTGATTGTAGCTATAAAATTTCCTGCAAAAATTGACATACTTGTAACCAATTTTTTCGTTGTTTAAAAGAGGAATTGAAGTCAAAGTTTATGGTGCTAAACCTAACTCTTGGTTACCCTTTTTATGTTAAAATACTTCCACAAAGAGTTCCTGGTAAAAATTATTTTGAGAAAAACTGAAGTTCTGATAATAACTGGTACTCAACCATGTCAACCAGTAAATACATTTTATTGAGTGATTTTTGGGTACACTGATTTCCCCAAAACTCAATAAGAACTTGAGAATTGATAGATGTTACCTGAAAACTCTTATTTTATATGGTGTTATACTGCTAATATTGGTAATAAAGACTATGGCTTTGAGATATATATGTTATTTTTGTCTCACCTGTGACAAAAGAAGAACATGTGTATGCTAGACATACACGTAGGGATTACTATAAAGTTTTATACAAATAGTTTACACCGCCACATAGTAATCCCTTCATGTATGTCTAGCATACTACAACTTTCGTTGCAGGCGAGACAAAAATAGCATATATATAGTAAATGCAAAATTGAGTTCTACAATTATCTGTTAAGAGAATACATTTAAAGTAATATCCTTATCTAGAAAAATGTAAGTTACAAATATATATATCTTTTATTCCAAATTATATGGCCCACACAGGGCATTTCAATTAAAACAATATGAAAATTTATCAAAATGAACATTGCTTCCTTCTATGTCATTTGGTCTCTGGTAGAGAGTTGTCTCATTGGCAATCATACCATATCTTCTTATTATACGACCGCAAAAAAATTTTGTGGTCGTATATTGGTATGACGTTGGCGTCGTCGTCGTCCGGCGTCGTCGTCGTCCGGCGTCGTCGTCCGAATACATATTGGTTTTCGCACTCTAACTTTAGTTTAAGTGAATGGATCTTTTTGAAATTTGACCATAAGGTTAAATACCACAAAAGGAAGGTTGGGATTGATTTTGGGGGTTATGGTACCAACAGTTAAGGAATTAGGGGCCAAAAAGGGGCCAAAAATGAGCATTTTCTAGTTTCCAGACAATAACTGTGGAACGGTGTATGGATCTCTCTGAAATTATACTACAAGTTTCCATACCACAAAGGGATGGTTAGGATTTGCTTTGGGGGGTTATGGCTCAAACCGTTTAGGAATTAGGGGCAAAAAAGGGGGAAAAACAAGGTTGTCCAGGTTAATGGACAAATACTTTAGTACAAAACATAATTTAAAGCAGTGTAAGGGAGATAAATCAAATACATCATTGAAATTATCTCCCTTACACTGCTTTTAAATTATGTATAAAGTAATGGTTAATGAACAATAAAGATAATCTAAAACAGTGTAAGGGAGGTAATCCAAATACAACGTTTTGGTTACTTCCCTTACACTGCTTTTAAATTATGTTTAAAGAAATGCATATTTATAAAGGAAGACCAGTAAAAATATCTGCAAATGTTTTCATCTTTTTTTTTTACAAAAAAATCCATATGAAAGATTTGACACTATATTTTTATTAATTCTATTATAAAATAGATTAAGTTAGCACTATGGTAAATTTAAATGGGTAATTATGGTTGCCAACTCCATTGGAAATTTGAAACGAGATTATGACCATATCTTGAGGGAAAGATTTTTTTTGGGGAAAAAAGGGGGGGGGGGGGGATAAAAAGAAATTGTGGGGGGCCAATTTTTTCTCATTTCAGATTTCAGAAATTAAAAAGAATTATTCTTCAAATATTATTTTTTTTTCAAATTTCAAATATTGAAAAATTTCAAGAAGTAATCTTTAATTGCACAGTATGGTGCATTAGATTTGTAAAATCTTTGATCACATTTATTTATTTGTTATGCCGAATCTAACAGTGTATTTAGATTTTTAATTTTGGGTCCAGTTTTCAAATTGGTCTACATTAATGTCCAAAGGGTCCAAAATTAAACTTTGTTTGATTTTAGCAAAAATTGAATATATGAGGTTCTTTGATATGCTGAATCTAAACATGTATTTAGATTTTTGATTTTTGGCCCAGTTTTCAAGTTGGTCCAAATTGGGGTCCAAAATTAAACTTTGTTTGATTTCAACAAAAATTGAATATATGGGGTTCTTTGATATGCTGAATCTAACCATGTATTTAGATTTTTTATTTGTGGACCCCGTTATCTAATTGGTTCATATTGAGGTCAAAAGGGTCCAAAATTAAACTTTGTTTGATTTCATCTAAAATTGAATTATTGGGGTTCTTTGATATTCCAAATCTAACCGTGTATTTAGGTTTTTAATTTTGGGTCCTGTTTTTTAAATTGGTCTACATTGAGGTCCAAAGGGTCCAAAATTAAACTTAGTTTGATTTTGACAAAAATTGAATTCTTGGGGTTCTTTGATTTGCTGAATCTAAACATGTGTTTAGATTTTTGATTATGGGCCCAGTTTTCAAGTTGGTCCAAGATAGGGTCCAGTATTTAAACTTTGTTTGATTTCAACAAAAATTGAATATATGGGGTTCTTTGATATGCTGAATCTAAACATGTATTTAGATTTTTGATTATGGGCCCAGTTTTCAAGTTGGTCCAAATTGGGGTCCAAAATTAAACTTTGTTTGATTTCAACAAAAATTGAATATATGAGGTTCTTTGATATGCTGAATCTAACCATGTATTTAGATTTTTTATTTGTAGGCCCCGCTATCAAATTGGTTCATATTGAGGTCAAAAGGGTCCAAAATTAAACTTTGTTTGATTTCATCGAAAATTGAATTATTGGGGTTCTTTGATATGCCAAATCTAACCGTGTTTTTAGATTTTTAATTTGGGTCCCGTTTTTTAAATTGGTCTTCATTGAGGTCCAAAGGGTCCAAAATTAAACTTAGTTTGATTTTAACAAAAATTGAATTCTTGGGGTTCTTTGATATGCTGAATCTAAACATGTGTTTAGATTTTTGATTATGGGCCCAGTTTTCAAGTTGGTCCAAGTTGGGGTCCAAAATTAAACTTTTTTTGATTTCAACAAAAATTGAATATATGGGGTTCTTTGATATGCTGAATCTAACCATGAATTTAGATTTTTTATTTGTGGGCCCCGCTATCAAATTGGTTCATATTGAGGTCAAAAGGGTCCAAAATTAAACTTTGTTTGATTTCATCAAAAATTGAATTATTGGGGTTCTTTGATATTCCAAATCTAACCGTGTATTTAGATTTTTAATTTTAAGTCCCGTTTTTTAAATTGGTCTACATTAAGGTCCAAAGGGTCCAAAATTAAACTTAGTTTGATTTTAGCAAAAATTGAATTCTTGGGGTTCTTTGATATGCTGAATCTAAACATGTGTTTAGATTTTTGATTATGGGCCCAGTTTTCAAGTTTGTCCAAGTTGGGGTCCAAAATTAAACTTTGTTTGATTTTAACAAAAATTTAATAAATGGGGTTCTTTGATATGCTGAATCTAACCATGTATTTTGATTTTGGACATTAGACCATAATAGGTAAATTAAAAAAATTCAAGTTCTTAGACCACATTCTTTCTGTGTCAGAAACCTATGCTGTGTCAAATATTTAATAACAATCCAAATTCAGAGCTGTATCAAGCTTGAATGTTGTGTCCATACTTGCCCCAACTGTTCAGGGTTCGACCTCTGCGGTCGTATCAAGCTGCGCCCCAGCGAAGCATTTTATTTTTATATTGAAATCATCATTAAAAATGTTGATAAAAAATCTCCAGTTATGAGGCCCATATATACTCGATCCAGCTGAAAATTTTCAAATATCCAGTTTTGACTTGACAACTCTGTCACATGTCTGTAAAGTAAAAACAAAATAAAAATATGGTTCTTTGAGAAATATGGTACCTATCTATCATGCCTATAAATTTGTGCCTTTTTTTAGAAAAAAATACTAAGCTAAAAATTTATTTGTTTTAATTTCTCCAAATATTTTTGAACAGTTTGAAAATAGTCCATGCTAAAACAAAAATAAGATGTGGTATGATTGCTAATGAAACAACTCTCCACCAGAGACCAAATGATGTAGAAGGTTAGCAACTATAGGTCACCATACCGCCTTCAACAATGATCAAATCCCATACTCCATAGCAAGCTATAAAATGGCATTTGTAAAACAATCCAAACTAGAAAACATTAATGGTCTGATTTATTTATAAAACAATAAATGAAAAACAAATATCTTATACAGCAACAAACCACAACCAATGAATTACAGGCTCCTGACTTAAAACATGTTTAAGGGCTCACCAACCCTCCCCTTACCTGGGACAGTGATGTAAACATACATTGTAACATAAGAACAACCTATAAAAATCAGTTCAAAAGGGCTAAACTCATCTGATCAATACAAAGCAAAAAATTACAATACACACAAAATAAAGATCTGAGAGTACCGGTACTCACAGTTACTGAAAGCTAGTTCGAAGCCTTTAACTAATAACAAAATCGTGTATCTAAGACTTAACATATCAATCAGTACACATCAAACTTCCATTGCATTACTACGCATTTGGTAAGAAATGAATGTCTGTAACATATTTAAATTACCCATTTTTAAAAGTTGACTTTTTCCAAACATATGGCATGTGATAGTTCTGTAAATTTTACATTTTTACTGGATGCTTCATCTGTTGATATACAATGTGACCGTTTTGAGTGTATTTAAATATATATTTATATACAATGTATGTTGAAAGACATGCTGAGGGTCAAATTATCAAAATACGTAAATGTTTAGTCTCTAAAAAATCCTGCTGTTTGGCAAAATGGGTACAAACTGGATACTCAGTGTATTTGGGTACTGTAACGTTAGACAGTTAGTTTTTTTATCAGATGTAACTTTTTGTGTTGTTACAAGGTTGCCCCATGTTAGGAGAATGTCCAGCACTCACAAACATTTTTAACCCTGCCACATTCTTTATGTGCTTACACTTTCACTTTTTGAGGATACCATTTAGGAATACTTTTACATGTATATCTGTGATACATTTGTAACACTCAGAAACGTGTCCTTCCCCCCAAACGTTTCCGATTCCCCCAAACGTGTCCACATGACGTCACTGAACTGCAAAACATGTCTAAATGTAAAAGGGCGCCAAAACGTGTCATTTTTATTAACGCCCAATCATGTCCATTTTTATAATAACGCCCAAACGTGTCCAATCTCACAAACGTGTCCATATGAAGCCTGTTTTTTCCTTCTTCCTCTGAAAGCTCAATCGTGTCCATATCATAAAAATGTCCAAACGTGTCCCCGTTATTTGCATGGTTATTGCTCTTTCATATACTCCTTTCACTATTTCATTGCAAATTGAAATATAGTCCTTTAGGTCTTTATCAAACGAACAGTATAACCCGTGCCAAAATGGGGCCTCCGTTTGGTTGGGCGGGTATTAAAAGTACGCAGCAATGTCTATAGGTAATAATGTGGATATTGGATCAGATACCTCCTGTATAGGGAGAATGCTCACTATCTGCACATTAAAATCCTTGTAACAACTCTTTCAGGGTGCCGTCGATGGTATGCATCAAGGCAACCATTTTTGTCCCTATACATATACCCTTATTATCTAGTGGCAGTTAGAATTTCCCCAACTTTAATTTCAAACGGTCTCTATTATATAAAGGGGAATAAAAGATTGTTATACTGAAGCCCCGTAAAAATAAAGTGGTCTTTCTCCGCTCCCAAAAATTATTATCTAATTCTGAGTCCCGTTTAGTGTAAATTCCTAATTACCGTACAGTGTAAATTCCTATTTTTCGTACAAATTTAGGCCCAATCCTAAATAACCGTCATAAAAATGTTACAATTCTAAAGTCCCGGGAAATAGTCTTCCATCTCTCATTAAAGAACTTACCAATAATATTTATTGTTAATATGTTGTCGTCCTAAATATGCATGAAATATTTGCTACTGGACGTAATGTCTCTTGTTTGTGTGTCTTGAAGTGATGTACGAAACCCCAAATTTATAATATTAAACCTGAAAACAAGTTTATGATTTCAAGAGCTTTTAAAAAATCAGAACTGTTGAAAAAAATTGGAAAACACCACTGCAGGAAGCCAGTCGTACATTATCCTCATGCATGGTTAATGTAGTAAGGCATCACTGCAGTTTAATAGTACAAAATAATTTACTGAGTAAACGATTAATTTAACTGTACTTAAGTAATGTTTATGTTCGCTCTAAATATGCATCAAATACTTGCCACTAGACATTAAGCAAGCAACAGTCAAGAATTATGTATATGTTGATAATCAATATTGCATACATATAAACAACTGGCATTGAACAAACTAATGCTAATACATTTTGAATGTTCTTCTTTTAACTCTGTTCCTTTTTAATTTCTGGTAATTGTGCCCAAAATATATACTCCAGGATTAATGTCTTTTGAATGCGGCTTTTATCTTATTAAGGATCCAACAAAAACCCGACATCTTCAATGTCCCCTATTATGGAATTGCCGTAAATGTTATATACGTCACTGAGAATATAATAGCGCTTAAAGTTTTCAGACGTTCCGGCGTTTTAAAGTGGACACGTTTTGGCGAATAACAACTTTTAAGGACACGTTTGGGGGAATCGGACACGTTTGGGGGGATGGACACGTTTGGGAGTGTTACATATTTAAATAACAATTAAGACACAGTAACTGCTATAATGAATGATAAAACAAACTTAAACATTCTTCTCTTCACAATGAGGTTTTCATAATAAAATCTTGAGTTCCTAAGGAAAGTATTTTGCAAATTCATCTTTTCAGAAGGTATATTTCACATATAATACATTGTACTGGTAATAATCCAGCCTTTTTCATATATGGAACTATATTCTTGTTAGTTGCTACTGGGTGTTCAGATATGATTGTATTTTGCAGAGATGGTCTTCCATCTGTCAGAATGGTACTTATGAAAGGCTTTGACAAGAATGGAATTGTGTTTTATACTAACTACAATAGCCGAAAAGCTGCAGAGCTGGTATGTCTTACAGTTTTATTCTTAGGCAGAGCTGGTATGTCTTATTGTTTTATTCTTAGGCAGAGCTGGTATGTTTTATTGTTTTATTCTTAGGCAGAGCTGGTATGTCTTACAGCTATATTCTTAGGCAGAGCTGGTATGCCTTGCTGCTATATTCTTAAGCTGATCCGGTATGGCTTACTGCTATATTCTTAGGCAGAGCTGCTATGTCTTAATGCTATATTCTTAGGCAGAGCTGCTATGTCTTACTGCTATATTCCTTAGCTGAGCTGCTATGTCTTACTGCTATATTCTTAGGCAGAGCTGCTATGTCTTACTGCTATATTCTTAGGCAGAGCTGGTATGTCTTACTGCTATATTCCTTAGCTGAGCTGCTACAAAATGTATGTCTTACTGCTATATTCTTAGGCAGAGCTGGTATGTCTTACTGCTATATTCGTAGGCAGAGCTGGTATGTCTTAATGCTATATTCTTAAGCTGAGCTGGTATGTCTTACTGCTATATTCTTAAGCTGAGCCGGTATGTCTTACTGCCATATTCTTAGGCAGTTACTGGATTCTCATCCTAATTTAAATATCAGCTGTTGCTATCATACTCACATGTATATATAATAACTGTTGGCTGGAAAAAAAATGAAACATTTTTTGTGGAGCTTTTGAAGATTTTGGTTCTTTTGTCTTTTCTGAAATCTAAGATTGCTATGACCATGTATCATTTTAATAGTATTACATGTACACAGGAGCCCATTGTAAATCATGGTAAACCATACTTGGCAACCATCATCCTCTAGGATATCAAGTAACCAAAATATTCCATGCCACCAATACACGAATATTGCATGGGTAAAATACTCAAATCTTACCAAATATATTGGCTAAAACAAAATTGTTCAACATATCCATATATGTGTATACATCTACCAATATACTGATACATATGTGTATACATGTACCAATATACTGATACATATGTGTAAACATGTACCAATATACTGATACATATGTGTATAGATGTACCAATATACTGATATATGTACCAATATACTGATATATGTATCAACATTACAGGCACCTAAAAAATAATCACATCTATACATTTGTGTTATATGAAGATATAGAGATTAAAAAAAACATTCAAAGATAAATAAATGTCTGTGATCAACATGTCCAAAAAGTTGTTATGAGAAAAAAATCACAATAAGAAAAAATAAAAGAGTTATGTTAACATGGTTAAGGAAAACATTATTTTGATAAAAATATCAAGTGTTGACACTGAATTTACCGTAATCGAATCTTCATGTGTACCAAGTATATCAAATAAATCAACATGATGAATTTTTTAAACGACCCCACATGGATATAGTCTTCCAACCTTAAGTAAAAATTTATATGCTTGATCTTACCATATTCCAATTCACATAACTTTTTTATTTGTGTAGTTTTTTTTTGAAATTTTCTGAAGACAGAAATGAAGAATCTTAGGTTTAAATATTAGACATGTTAGATACAGAAAGAAAGCTAATTATATTTTTATATATAACTGGGAATTTTTGTCTAAATCTCCCTTTTTCAATGCTATTGCAATTGTAAAGTACATGCATAAATGTTTTCTTTGGTTTCAGGAAGAAAACCCAAGATGTTCATGCATGTTTTATTGGGAGCATTTGAAAAGAAGTGTAAGTATTAACTGTTAAATAAGCAAGGTTTACTGTTAATATTTTAATTCAACATGAAATGATTGTGAGAGTTTTATCTTTAATAATTATAGAAGGAAATATACCGTATAGCTGGTTATTTTCGCGGGGTGTTTATTTTCGCTTATTTTGGCGTATAAACAAAAATCGCGAAAATAAATTCCGCGAAAATTTATGCATACGTTTGGTAGTTTCGAAGTTAACATTGTTAACGGATTTTGTAAACGATCTATTTTTCCCTGTTGGCAGGTCAACAACGGTATATGTTAGTTTTAACAAGATAAATGCCAAAGGGCGTTGTACATAAATGTATTTTATAAAATGACTGTCAGGTGTGTATACCCTTATTAATAAGTGTCAATTAGAATAAGAGTGTAAGGTACTCTTATCAGGTAATTACCCCATATTAATAAGTGTCAAACTATATAAGAGTTGTAAACACTCATGATAATTTTGTAACCTAATTAGTAAGTACATCAAAGGTCCAGTCAAATCTAATCAATCGTAAATTTACAAGACGTTTGAATACCTGTAACAAATAATTATCTAAGTTAGCGGTATTCTTATGATTAACTGTATCAGAAACTAATCAATAAATAAGAGGTCATTTCGGTTAAAAAAAATAATTAATTAACCATAACAATAGACACTTGTTTGTCAAGTTTTACAACTTTTTAACTGCAACAATTTCAGTATCCACCAAAATATTTAATTGGGATTTAAGAATCCACCAAAATAAAAACCACCAAAATTTTTCGTATACTTTGTTGTCCCCAAGTCGCGAAATTTTACACCCGTGAAAATAACCCGCTATACGGTATATGCTCTGCATCTTGTGCCTCTTGTTAATTGAATTTTTCTCTCCTTAAGTGGAGAAGGTATATATATATATACTCTGCTAAAATCACAATGCTGTAAAGTTAAAATGTATCAACTGGTTTTCACAGTTTTATGAGTACAGCAATTATATTGCTGAGAATATAAAATTTATTTTTGTTGTGATAACAAAAACCTTGTAGTCACTTTATAAACTGATTATTGACATGTACTCTTATAATAAAATTTCAAATATTCAAAAGATGGTATCAATTTGTGAAATTTACTCCTTCTGCAGTTTTAATTTTTCACATTTTTTACAGATAAGAGTTGAAGGATCAGTGTCAAGATTGTCTAAAGAAAAATCTGAAGAATATTTTAACTCTCGACCAAGACCAAGTCAGCTTGGTGCTTTAAGTAGTAATCAGGGTAGTGTTGTAGATAGCAGAAAGGTAAATTACTTTAAGCAGTAATCAGGGTAGTGTTGTAGATAGCAGAAAGGTAAATTACTTCACCTTTACAGGAGGAATTATGGGACTTCAACCTTTATTTTTTGGTATTGTAACAATGACGTCACCTTGTGAACTCCTATGAGTTCTGTTTTAAAGAAAGCTCTCATAATATGTAGGATTGTTTGCCATCGTGTATAGTACCACAATTTGGATTTGACCATTTTTACTGGAGTTATGGAACTTTGACTATTTTTTAAAGTAATGTAACAACAACACCTTGTGAACGCAACTCCTCTGAGACCATTTGACAGAAAGCCTTAATACTTGGAACTGTTGTTTTCCGTCATGTGTAGTTGACCACACAGTACTGCCATTTTGATTCACCATTTTTACAGGAGTAATGGGACTTTAACAATTTGTTTGAGTATTGTTATATCAACAACTTGTGAACACATCTCCTCTGAGACCATTTGACAGAAAGCTTTAATACTTGGTACTGTTTTTTGTCGTCATGCGTAGTTGACCACACAGTACCGCCATTTTAATTCACCATTTTTACAGGAGTAATGGGACTTTAACAATTTGTTTGAGTATTGTTACATCAACAACTTGTGAACTCATCTCCTCTGAGACCATTTGACAGAAAGCTCTTATACTTGGTACCATTGTTTGCCATCATTTGTAGTTGACCAAAATATACTGTTATTTTGATATGACCATATTAACGGGAGTTATGGGATTGGCCATTTTAGTGTCGCCTGCTTTCGTCGCAGTATGCGAGACATGGGGATTACTACCCTGCAGTGGCGGTGTAAACTATTTATATAATACTTTATATTTTAGAAGGATAGAAGACCTGGATGCTTCATACCTTGTATGCAAATACCTTATCTTAAGAAGTTTCTGACAGTAATATGTCCATTGTCCTTGACCTCATTTTCATGGTTCAGCGACTGTTTGAAAAAAAAAATATTGTTTTTTTTGTCATGTGAATTTCTCACTTATTATGAGTAATAGGATAACTATATTTGGTATATGGGTTCCTTGCAACGTCTACATATCCGTCAGACAGTGTTCCCCTGACCTCACCTTAATGTCATGGATCAGTGATCAAGGTTAAAATTATGTGATAAGGTCCGTTACTCAGATACTATAAGCAGTAGGTCAACTATATGTGGTGTATGGAATGATTGTAAGGTGTACACATATGTCTGGCAGGGTTCATATGACCTTAACCTCATTTTCATGGTTCATTGGTCAATGTTAAGATTTTGTGGTTTGATTTGTTTCTCAGATACTATTAGCAATAGGACCACTATTTTTGGTGTATGGAAAAAAGTAAAATAACAAAAATACCGAACTCCAATGGAAATTCAAAACTGAAAGTCCTTTATAAAATGGCAAAATCAAAAGCTCAAACACATCTAACAAATGGAAAACAACTGTCATATTCCTGACTTAGTACAGGCATTTCCTTAGGTAGAAGATGGTGGATTAAACCTGGTTTTATAGCTAGCTAAACCTCTCACTTGTATGACAGTCGCATGGAATGATTGTAAGGTGTACATGTCTGTCTGGCATGGTTCATCTGACCGTGACCTCATTTTCATATAACATTGATAATGTTAAGTTTATGTGATATTTGTAGTAAAATCTTTATATTATAGACTTTCAACATGAATTTAATAAGTAAAACAGGCGAGACATTTCAAGCATGTGCACTCTTGTTTTAAATTGGATCAAATTAATGATATTGTAAAAATTATTTTGATGATTAATATTTTGAATAAATTTTTTTCAGACAATAAGTGATAGATTCAATTCGTTGTCAGAAACTTATAAAGATGAAGATAAGACAATACCCAAACCTGACTGCTGGTAGGTAACAAAAGATTATACACAAGCCTGATTTCTAACTTACATATGAATATATTTCTCTATCATTGTTTATGACAGCTTTTACCGTGCCAAATTAACTATTAAATCATTGGATTTGCAAAATGTGTAAATAAACTCATCATAGACACCATCTACAAAAGACTCATCAATTCAAAATAGTTAAAAAGGTCAAGTTAAGTATGAAGTTCAAGAGCATTGAGGACTCAAAATTCCAAATACAGCTAAGGTAATCTATTCCTGGGGTAGAAAATCCTTAGTTTTTTCGTAAAATCTCAAAAGTTTTGTTAACAGACGACGAGGTTTTTTTTAACGACCTTGACTACCCGTGAGGGTCTTGCACAGTTGTTAACAGTTATTTTATAAATGACCATATCAATGATCACTCGTGTTAACACAGAAGTGCTGACTACTGCTCAAATTTTTGAAAAAGTTAGAAACCCCTCATGAATTATATATTGTCAAACTTTTTGTGGAATAGAATAAAAGATATATTCATTTTATTAAATTTTGAAAGAAAAACATTAACTATCTTGCACCTTATTTATCTCCAGAAAATATAAAGAGCTAAAAGGTGATTAGTAGAAAAAACAAAGGATATAGGGTATCCATCCATGACACAAAATCAGTACATGCACAGCCAAAAAACACCAAAAGCAAAGGAACAACGCTTTTATTACTGTTCTTCATCTCAAAGTCACAGTGAGGCCTTCAATTGAGGTTTGTTCTCAGGATTCTATATTGGGAGAAGACTTCATAAGTTTGATTAACTTGTGTCTCATCCCTTTTGCATATTTAAGCAAATAAAATATGTTTAAACTAAACACATATGAGCGCTTACAATGCAATTTTCCATATATAATCAATATTTCCAAGGGGCATAACTCTTTTAAAAATAATTGATCGGCACCAATTTTCAAATTTGCCTGAGACATTGATGATATAAACCTATAATATAAATTTCATAAAATTCTGGCACGAATTGTACACATGAGAGTGCTAACAATGCAATTTTTCATAAAATCAATATTTCCAAGGGCATAACTCTTTTTAAAAATAATTGATCAGCACTGATTTTCAAACTCACCAAAAAAAAGAGGATAAACTATAATTTAATTTTCATAAAAATCTGGCAAGAATTGTACACGTAAGAGCGCTCCTAAGGCAATTTTCCATATAATTAATGTTTCCAAGGGGCATAACTCTTTTAAAAATAATTGATCAGTACTGATTTTCGAACTCATCCAAGACATTGCTAATATAATCCTTTGATATAAGTTTCATAAAAATCTGGCAAGAATTGTACACATGAGAGTGTTAACGATGTAATTTTCCATAGAATTAATGTTTCCAAGGGGCATAACTCTTTTAAAAATAATTGATCCGCACTGATTTTCAAACTCACCAAAAAAAAGAGGATAAACTATAATTTAATTTTCATAAAAATCTGGCAAGAATTGTACACGTAAGAGCGCTAACAAGACCGGACGGACGCGTTCGTAAAGACATTGCTGATACAAACCTATGATGAAAATCTGGCAAGAACTGTACACCTGAGAGCGCTAACAAGACCGGACGGACGCCCGGTAATTTCCATGTCTCCCGCAACGCATTTCGCGGGGGACAAAAATACTGATACACTGACTACAATAACTGAAAAACAAAAATATGGGTAAACACCTCTGAGGTAGTTGCTAATTTATATAATGTTTTACAGGGGTAGAAGATTGATAAATGAAATAATAACTGTTGCTAATTTATATAATTTTTTATACAGGGGTGGATACCTTGTAACTCCAGATTTGTTCGAGTTTTGGCAAGGACAAACATCTAGACTTCATGACAGAATAAATTTCAGAAAACTAGCACCCGGAGAGCAAATTGATGAGAAATTAACTCATATAGGAGAAGATGGATGGGTGTTTGAGCGATTAGAACCTTAAGTGAAGAACTTGTTACCAGCATACATTATTTTTAATAATGGTCTAAATTGTGATAGTTTTAAAATTATGAAATTAATAAAATTATTGTCAGCAAATTTTTAAGTCAAAACAATCTCCTGTAAGACATTCATTTGAGTTTCGGCAAGGCTAAAAAAAAAAAGAATTTATTCAAGTATTCACGTCAGATGACCAGCAGATGGAGAACAAGACAAAAAATAAAAAACAGCTTGTTCAGGAGAGGATGACTGGAGTTTGCATTTGAAACTGTGATTGTAGAATTTAAAATTGTCCTGTTGTATTTTATGATTTTCCCATTGTAATAGTTTTGTTAATTTCAAAAAAGGAGGAGGTGCATTTAGGGGTTGTATTTGGCCTCAAAAATGTTAACACTTTTAATATAACTACATTTATTAAAATACCATGATTCACTTGGATGTTAACAATAATCTAAAACAACATATTCCTTATAAATGAAATCTCAACTTAAAATGAGAAATGAACTATACCCTTAATACACCTTGTTCTTTCAATGAGTAAAACAATTTCTTGTTCAACAATTTGGAATAATTGTTATATAAATGTGTTTGAAGTAAAAGTTTGCATTTTTAAGTCTTGATTTGAATAACTTTTAAAAGTATTTTGTCTTTTTGTCAACATTTATCCCAAGTTGAGCCATAAATACTATATGTTGTTTATGTATGAAACCTGAATTTTTTCAAAGGTGTATTGATTCTAGTCTTTTGAATTTAGAAACACATTTTTTTGTCAAGGACCAATTACAACATTGTTGTCTGTTATAATGATATTCAAAAGATTATTCTGATTTTTCAAAAAATAGAAATCTAATCATAATATAATATTTAATATTTGGAAATTTTGTTTCAGTAATTGATTTAATTTCTGTAGCTTTAATATTTTGTTTTCTTTAATTTTGATTAAATTGGTATAATAACAATACCAGTTATTTTGCAGTGTTTAGTGCATCCCACTTGATTTATAATCCTTCTAATTCTAATTTTAAAATGATACATCCAGGACATTCCAGGTTAAATGTTAATTATTATTACTGTGTAATAGAAATTGAGACATGTACATTTGCATGTTACTAAAAAATTACCTTCTGGTAGAAATGTATAGATTTGAGTAATTTTCATGTTAAGTACATGTGACCTTGGATTAGAATGACATATATGTATAATATTTTCCTGTAGAAGTATTTTTTTAAGTAATTTATATAGAGGGTAAAACCATTGATCTTTTGTAACAATGAATAAACATATCACTGAAATTCCTGTAACTCTTTGTTTAATCTAGTTTTATGATGCCATTATAGGTTTTATTTTTTTGAAACCAGTCAGTTTTATAGTGCCAATACAAATTGCCATTTTGAAGCCTATCAGTTTACAGTACCATTGAAAGTTTCATTTTTAAAGCCATGTTCACTAAAGTTAGTAAATAGTTCTATTTTTAATCATAGTTGATAAAAAAAAACTTTAAATTTGATCAGACTTATGATGAAGATTCCCTGAAGATTTTGATATAGACAAGTGATTTTATTGATCCAGCTTTCACATTATAGAATTGAAGGCATATAAATAATAAAATGATAGATTTGGAAACGACTTGAAGAAAGTATGAAATGCCATTACCAACTTTTGGCAGTTTTAAAATAAATACACTTGCAGATATAGTTCCTGCGTAATTTGTTTGTCTTGAGAGCAATAGTGCACTAGCTGTTTAACTTATTATTTTAAATCAAAGTTAAATTAATTTGTATGTTGATATTTTTTTTACAATTGCAGGCAATCGTAAATTTTATTTTTACTACTAGTGTTTGGAGTATTATTTTGAATTATTTTCTTAAAGAAATAATGCAGGTCTGTATTAAAAACCCTTGCAAAATATTTGTAACTGTTGCCATATTTATAAGTTGAAACTGATAAAGATACTTTATAACTTCCAATCATAAGTTATGAGAGTACAATACTCTCTGGATGTAGAAAATCTGAGCAAACACTTTTTTTTAAAGAATCTTTTCTGGCAAGTTGTAAATTTTATACAATTCAAATTTCAATTGCCCTATCTTAAAACTTTATAATCTGGCCCTAAGACTTGTTTACTTACATTTGTAGAAGAGTACAACCCCTACTAAACCAGAAATTTCATATAATAACATAATATAGAGCAAATCAGGGTTAACAAAGTTTTTGCAATAAAACCATAGAAAGATGGTAATTTCTAACTAAGGTTAACAATGATTGCATCAGGGTACCCTATGAACAAAATTTCAAACTGAAAAAGGTTCAAGGTCTAATAACCCAAAATGTATTTATAAATTTGCTGAATAGGCATATTTAAAATAGCGGAAATGACTGTGATACAACTTTGAATTTTGGTTCTCTACAAATCCTGGTTGAACGCCAGGAATATAACAATCAGGAGTAATATGTTTGCTCATTAATTGATTTTGGACCTTGGATTTTTTTTAAATTCAATGAAGTTATGTAAATTTGATCCTTCTGTTTGTGTTAATAATTTTCAAACTACAAAGATGTCTTCTTCAATAAAAAGTTAGCATGTACAAATTCCATGTTTTGTTTTTTCATTATTTTATTAGGACTATTCCAGAAAAAAAATATATGGGGGGAGGTGGAAGGCACTTGAATTATTTTTGAATGGGTGGTGGTCAGGTCACTAAGTTCAAATTGTGTTTTGATCAATTGATCTCAGGTTAATTAGTGTCATCACTTCTGATTGCAATTTCCTTCCATCAAGACAATTTGTAAGCATAGATGAATCAACTAATCTCCGAAAGCAATTATTTCATTAAAAATTTGATGAAAGTTGTCAGTGATGAACAACGAGCTAGTAAGTGAAAATGAACACCTGAATTTGCCATGTCTCACAAATCATTATAAAACAAGATATGATTATTTTCAAGAATCTTCGTTTCTGATGGCTTCAAATTCTTCACTTGATTTTTTTCTCCAGAAAACAAAAATCTATGAATTTAGGAACCCACAAACATGCAACTTTTTCTCAAACCATGAATAAAAGTACTTTCACAGTATATGGAAAATTATACAGAAAGGGAGATTCCTATTGATTTTTAGCTGATTATGTCAAAAGTCAAGGCAAGAAAATATGTAACAAAATGGACATTACCAGCCAGCTTGTTTACTAATATCATGTAATTGCATTTGCCTAAAAGTAGTTGTCTTCAAAATAAAAACTTTGTCATTATGGATTTTATTGTTGGAACATCATTGATGCAAACAATTTCATGTTGACATATCTTTATAATACAAACAAGTTTAACAGAAATCACCCAAAGTATTTGACTGTTCAACAGTCTACACCAATAACCAACACTTGACTTCTCTGTAAAAATATTTACAAATAAAGGCAAAACACCAAAAAACAGCACATCATCTAGATAGCTTGACTTGGTACCGACACTTTTTTGTGCCCCCGCCGTAGCGGATCCGGAGGGGGCATTAAGTTTTACCCTTGTTCGTCTGTACGTCTGTCTGTTCGTATGAGGTTTTAGTAGTCCTCTACCGACGAAGTCGAAGGGGACTTTAGGTATGCACTCTGTCCGTCTGTCTGTCCATCCGTCAGTCCGGTTAATCAGTTTTCCCCACTTTTTTTCTTCGTGCTTGAAGATATTGATTTGATAATTGGTATATAGTTTTGTCATGACCAAGTTACAGATCAAGTTCGAAGTTTGTTCCAGTCTGATGAATTTGTGCAGAGTTCTGGTCCTTGGACTTGGAAAATTCACTCAAATAATCAGTTTTCCACACTTTTTTTCATCATGCTTGAAGATATTGACTTAATATTTGTTATATAGTTTACTAGTGGGGTGACGGAATAGGAAAAAGTCGAATATTAAAAGAGTTTAATTTCACTTCATAGTACACGGCTAAAAATTTGCACAGTCCTAGAAAAATGATTTTACTTGAATTTAAGATTGGTTGTCAAAAAGTCTTATGGTGCAATTTTTTTTTATTTTAGCGTTTAGCTAGCAAATTTGACTTCAAATGCAGATCATGAGTGGCATACAGTTTGGCTTTTTATTCAAAGGCTGCATTCAAATATATGTCTTGTTTTTATTTGTTCAAACAAAACACATAATGCTTTATTCATTATGTGAAAAAGATAATTGTAAAAGCCTTTTGATAACAAATTATGAAGGTACAAATTACTGTAAACGGGGACATTTTGTCTTTCACCGTATTCCAACATCATACAATAAAGGGCTAATGAATGAATTATATCGTAACTACTAAAAATTAATAAAACTGCAATTTTTCTTTTCATATACACAAGTTTTTATAAGGTAAGATTTTTTAAACGATATTTTTTAAACTTTCAAAAATTTCTACTATTCAATCATTATCTTTAAAAATATTCCGGAAAGTTGTGCCCCATCCCTGATCGGGCTGAATACATAGTTTTCCTCCAAAATTAAGGACTTGATATTACTTGTTTATGTCCATGTTTTATTGTTTCGTTGATTTATTTGGGTGTCTGTAATTTATTTTTGAGGTTGTGTTGATATAGTTTTATTTATATAAGAGGCAAAATGCGTTTTTCGGTTGTTTATTTAAGAAATGGGGATCCGACAAAATCCCCAAAGATAACAAACTGGGAAGTCCGTTGAAAATTGGCTTTAACATTTCAAAGAAGCAATCATTAAGTTTAATCCCTTAAATAGTGCTATTTTCATAAAAGCAGAAGTGGGATAATTGTTTTATTTCACTTACAATCAACCGCGGTATTTTGATAGTCGATAGGTGTAATGATGAAATTTGCCCGAAAGTGCGCGGATGATTGTGAATTGATAATTCGTTTGGAAATTGTTTATTATAAAAATAGACACTAATGATGCACAAGTCAACATAACATAACAGTGTTTACAGTCCATACTGCAATTGGAAATGCAGAACCTTTTCATAGACCTAAAGAAAACCATTTTGCTTAGTTCTTTGATTTCAAATTCAGATATATTGAAGATTTCCTGTCTCTCTATAATCCACATGTCAGTCAGTACTTAAAATCATATACCCCAGTGAGCTAGTGATAAAGGATACTACAGAAACTAGAATGTCTGCTTCCTATCTTGACCTTTTCTTTAATATTGACACAGATTGACGACTTCAAACAAAACCTATGACAAACTTTTGATGACAATTTCAACTTTCCAATTGTCAATTTCCTCATGTCTCAATAGTACTATATCCTTTGTGCCATCGTATGGTGTTTACATATCTCAAATGATGTCTTACACACGTGCATGTTGAGTCAGTGACTTAATGAACAGGGTTGTACTCCTAACATTTAACTGCTTAAAAATGGCCGCAGATTTCAAAGGGATACTCAAACTTATCGTCCTTCCCTTCGCCTATATCACCCTACTCAGTCGCCCGTTATTCTCGTATCATGGCTTTGAGACGAGAGCAGGCATTATCAGCGAATTCACAATGTCTGAGGAGAAGTTAGTTATCTAGGGAGGAGAAAAAGACCAGTAATAGAACGATAAACAGATAATCGGGTTTTCTTCGTATATAGATATCGTGAAATATCTAACCATAGCAATGTGTAGAAAACCCGATGATATATACTTATTAGTCGAAGGCAATATCACAACGTCATGGCAAAAGTCGAAGAACGTCGTAAAGACAAACAAAAACTAAAGATCATCACAAACCTTACTGAAAACCGGGGGTTATCTCGGGTGCCCCCGGAGGGTTAAGCAGATTCTGCTCCACATTTGACACCTGAGTGTCGAACGTGAAAATGCAGATTTGATGTTACGCACTGACGTTTGAGGAAGAACCGGCGATTGAAATAGACACAAAATAAGTTTTTAGGTCACCATCCTGAATAATAATGTTCCCTTCAAGCTCTGCCGTGTCTCAACTCACTAGCAGCATCTTTTCGCGGTTGGAGATCTTTAGATACTAAGTATCAGATCAGATCTGAAAATTTGACATTTGACTTGTGTCCCATTCCTGTTTGTAACATGTTGATAGTTTTGATTCGCATGGCATGTGATGTATGCTGGTGACGCAATCGATCTGAACTATTTTTGAAGTTCTTGGAATTTTTTGTTTGCAAAAATGAACATTGGTAAATTGCTGTTGCCTCTTATGTTTCTTAGAGACATACAGATAAAATAGCAGCCGGTTTAAGTCAAGAAATCGAGGTCACGGATATCAAAGGTTGTGTTTTGTGTAATATGGTTTGTCTGTGGATGTGTTTCTTTTATTGGTCATGGCGTTGTCAGTTTATTTTTGACTTATGAGTTTAAATGTCACTATGGTATCTTTCGTCTTTCTTTGAAATGGATTAATTTTTTTCATATGCTTGCATATATTGTAATAAAAAAAGCTATTACAAGGGATAAAACACTATAAAACAATATATTCAAATGCTTTGTAAGGCAAACTTTTCATACAACCACTATAAACCTTTACAGGGATTAAAACTTTATTCATTTATTACAAAGACAGGTTTACAGGTTTACAGAAACAAGTTTTTTACCACCAGCAGTGCGATATCAATGCTAACTCTTGTTCAGAAATTAAATCAATTATACAGACCAGACCTTAGGACAGAACGATCACGACAATCGGAAACATTCCACAGACTATAATCATGTGATCATAGCAAGTGTATACTGTCGATCAGAGATGTTTTTTTCTTGACTTTTGTTGAGAGATATCTGGAGTTGTAAGCAGCAGGACAAACCATTCTGTTCTGGACAGGGTTCATTTGACATTTGTCCTAGTTGCAAATACGAAATGTTTTTGAAATGTCCAATCATGCTGGATAAAAGCACGCTACATGTGGTACAAAAACATTTGACCACAACTCTATTCCAATGCACAACAGGTTAAATGTCCGAAGCTTAACATCATGTTCGCAATATTATTATAGGATTTGTGGTTTAAGAAATTTGTCGTGTTCTTCAACCACTTTGGACCAAAATTGATACTCGAGATTTGCTAAACCTTCCATGTACGAACATATGTATTCCAGCCAAAGGTCAGAACCTTGTAATAACGTTCCCATAATACAAAAGTCATTTGAGGTCTGAATTACTTATTACAGTTACTATGTTAAGGGCGATGTTAAACCATCCATCCGTCACTTAGTTTGGGATTGAATAATTTACATTCCTATTAATACATTTTATTTCATACAAAACCTCATGACATTATTTAAACTCAATTATAAGTCCGTTTTGAAATAATTTTTGTTGCCAGTTTTGCATGTACCGAATTAAACGTATATGCCCAAAACTCAAGTTTCCACTTTCATTGGAGTATAATAGATAGTTAAATTAACAAATACATATTTTGTCATATTTTTCTTTACATTTTGTATAAGTGTACTATTTTTGACGATTAAATTTTTATAATTCCGACTTTGGTCACCGGCCTATACACCATGATAAGTTGTAAATCAAGTTAGCATTTTGTTCCAAACTATGAATTTTTAACCGGTAGGGGACTATGTATTGCCATGCAATACTCTAGGAATGCTTGTTTTTTTGTGGAGGGAAAGGAATGGATAAGGA